ATCGCGCTAAACGCCAGTTACCGCGCCATGCCCGCGCATCTCAATGTTTAAGTCCATATTTCAGTCAATATTTGAGGTCCTGAGAATTACTCGGTACGTCAAATAATAGATTTACGCAACTGCGCGCGTTTCCGATATTATCGCTGAATTGCGAACGTTTACGCAAATTTACACGTTCTGCGAACGTGATTCGGAAAAATTCAAGCTAAGTACAGATTAGTTTCCCAGACTGAAACGCAGGAATTCGTTTGGATATTTTATTACTTTCGTCACATCCATTGAAATTTTTCACAAACGCATGAATATACGCGACTCGATTACGATCATTGGAATGCAGATTTTCGTGAAATGTACTCTTAGACAACAAGAAGCTTGGTCAAAGATTGTTTTTCACGAGCTACATGTTATAGGAAGCAGTATATTTTAGATTTCTTTAAATATTTTTTTTATATTATATGCATTTCGTACAGCTTTGCGCTTTAGAATTTCTTCCACAGTCTGATTACCATCATTACAAGTTAAAACCGACGTCAAAGTTATGAAAATGAAGATGGCGATTAAATGTACTAATTTCGTACGGTGAGTGACCACAGCGAATTCTAGAAAATCTAAATTCTTATACAACAAATCGCGATCTTGATTCATGCAATTTTTTTCACGATGGTAAAGAGGAAAAATGTCGCGCAATTCTCCGCTGAGAATCGTAAATTGCTTGCCATGAAGAATACACGTAGGAAGGGAACAAGTATCAGATGTTCTTTATTACGATAAATAGCCGCCATTTATCACGGTGACGAAACGATTAATTGGAAGAGCAACGCGAAACACGCTTCTCGTCGTATTTAATAAATCATTTGCACGATCAAATTAAATCGAGATGCAACCGATTCGCTTCAGTTCGTTCTAAAAGCCAGCTGAGAAGCACCGTTTATGACACGGTGACAAATTATTAATTTTCTAGGATCTAGTCTTTACGTAATATCACCGTTCCAGTGAATGATCTGATCAAAGGGATCGGTGGATCAGGAACGTTTCCAGGATAATGTACAGGCCATAACATCGTGATTGCCAGTAGAATGTTTCCCGAATCGATTTTTCCTCCGTCCGATAGATAACGCGATGAAAAAGTAGGTAACGATAATCTCCGCCATTTCGTAAAAAGTTTTATCGAGGGATACGAACGGATATGAATAACGAATCATGAGCAATTGTATTTGAATAATATACGAACCAGTCTTATCGCACATTTGTCGTTTAATTATTTTTACGCTCGATATTCCCTCGTGTTTCTACCTATGACAGAAATTCTCTGATACCCGATATCCTTTCCGTAAGCTCCTTACTCAAAAATCACAGTTCCGACCAACGGAGAAAAAAATCGCTGACCTCTTTCTGCGACCGAGAAAGTACAGTGATTGATAAAAGAAAAAGAAAAAAATGGGAATTCTTCCGAACGTGTTTCAGCGCGAAATTAATCGTTTAGAATTTAAGAAACTTTATCGATTGAAGCGAGTATCATAAATTACAATTTAGTATCGTGCGAATTGTGTTTTGTTTAAAATTGAAACGCTCTTGCAACTCTCACGAGAAATTACGATTTTCATATATTCTAAACGAAGTTTAAGAGGTTACGATCGATATTAAGTGCGATTTACGAGTCATCGCTTCATTTATCATAAGTTGTGTCGCATGAAATATCACAATTCACCCGAATATTTCTCGTCAATCTCGGGAAAATTACGACGAATTCATAACTTTTATTAGAAACTATTGTGTTTCGAGAGTGCGTTTATATAATACTCACTTAAAATCATTATCCTAAATTAACCGATTACACGATTATAAAGATAGTTTTCTATCCTAATAAAAAAATTGAGACTTTGTCAACACTGGTCTGTTGCAACGATGCAATAACTAACAGAAGTACGAATTTCATCCATATTTTTGGGCAAACTTGCCGGCGACCGGAAAATTCGCACGTACCCGGCAATTTGCAGATTAATTTCCTCCGCGCGGCTATTCTCAAATATAGCCGATCGATAGTGAAGAACAGTCGCCAAGTGGGCACCGAAGGCGATCGTACAAACAGTGCCAATTTAATCTCCATTCTGCGCGCGACAGCTGAAACGACCTGCTCCGCCCACCGGAACAGTCGTCTGAGGCAACCATAGCGTGAAACCGCGATAATCTCAATGTCCATTTGCCTCGATCCCGCTGTCGCTCATTGAAAATCCCGTAAAAAACGAACGCCCTGACCCTTGCCGCGATCTCTCGTGTAATATCGTCTCGTAAACGTAATATTATCTCTTATCCTCCGTTTCGTTTTTTTTCACGCCATCGAAAAATAATTTGCGCGTTTAATCGTCAAGTCAAGTGGACGGGAACGTTAACGCGAAACTAAACTCGTTTCGAAAGTATCCTCGGCTGCGTTTCGAACGAGCCGGGCAAAATGCAAGTATAATTACCAAGCGTTTCCGCAACTTTCTTCGTTCCACCGGCGATTAGAAGTATATTTCCTCTCTAATTGCCAAACGAGCCTCGAAAGAATCGGAGCTGAATATATGTGGAACAGCTTCGGGTGAATTATTTCAGCTAATTTATTATTTCAGAGATACGAAAGATTCCAATAAATCATTTCCAAATAATTTCTCGTTTGTTCGATCCAAAATTAAAATTACAAATGATCTAATTGTATGGGGAGATCTCGTGTTTCTGTTAATTCGACAATACACGAAAAATTGATTTAATTGCATTGTAACACCATGTAAACGATAGATGCGAAATATTTCTTTACTTCAGCTGAGAATGTACGATCTATTGTGAAATCTATGTTTCGCTCAATATCATATTTTTTTCTACAGACACAACATGTGTACGCGTTTCTGGTTGAATTGGCTGGAATTAAATTTCAGAATTGAATTTCGATGTTTTTAAACGTTGTTTTAACGTGTACCACTGATCACGCCCCACTCCCAAATAAATCATCGAGCGCCAAAACGAGGATTCCAGCGAGTCGACAAAATCCGATATACATCACTTCTCGTCCCTCCCCTCCCGTTAAACGTCGGAAGCGCTAGTTCGGTGAAAAATGAATAAAAAAAAAAAAAGAAAGAAAAAAAAGGAAAAAGGGAAGGTCATCGACGAACTGAAAGAAATTGAAAGCCGTTGATTTCATTATCCATCGTAGCTTTCGTAAGTGCGCTTTTATGATATTTTAACTTTAATTTTCCAAAATTAATCGATCGTATGAAAGACGCGTTCAGTTTGTCCTCGTTTCTCGTGCGACAAATTTTACAAAATTAAAGTTAAAATACCTCTGTTAAATTAATAATTTTTCGACACGGTCGTTACTTTGAAATCTCTCAAATGCCTCTATCCGTAAAAAAGAAAATCATTACTACCATATTGTGCAGATGTATCACAAAGTTTTCTCACATCTCCAGAAATAACCGAGATATCTGAGATAGTAATAATTTTTCTTTTGTATCCTGTATAATGCTTTAGGAACTATATTGTACAACGACGTCACGCGACAGAATGATTTCTCGATTGCGATCCAAGATCGATCTCAGTCAGTGAACTGATGCGCGTGTTGCGTCTTTGGCTATTGAACAGAGTCATCAAATGACGCAACGATTACTTTTGTTGTCGGTCTCGAGTGTGTTACACGATTTATTCAGAAACTCGAAAGCAATCGCAGCTCGTTCGAGAAGACTCTATCGAAGCGTAAACTGCGTGAAAAATAAACGACGTGTTCCAAGTAAATTACCAAACAATTTGCACGTGACCCCGTGCAGTGGGATGTTGGCGGCAAGAAAGCCGCGACGAGAAAATAAATTCCCGAAAATTTACGGAGGCATGAACAATCTTGGTTCGTTGCTCGCTCATTCGACTATCTCGCTGGAACGTTTACCTCGCGCGTTAGCATTGGCTGACGTCTTCGCGTTAACGAAAACCAGTATTCCAACTGCTTCATTATGCAAAAGCTCTCGCTATCTTTTCCCTAAATAAGTTTCGGGGCCCGGTGTTAACGTCCGTTCCCTACCGCTCCCGGAGCTCGTTGCTTGTTCGGAGCTCCGGCCGCCTTAAAATAACGCTAATCTCACCATTCGCCAAACTAATACGGCCAGGAATATACTCGGCCGCTTAAGGAAACTTGCTACCCGAGCCAGCGATCGTTTACGTTAAACTACGAAAACGTATTTTACGTGAAATGGATTCACGGCAATGCAGCCTCCTGCCCCCTCCCCCTCCCGCCCTCTTTGCATAAAGTATCGCAAACCAACTTGCCGAGTTTCGCGAGCTCACATTACCACAGAACGTGGCGGAAAAAGAAACGGATGAATAAAAGACAAAGGTGCGTTTGCTCAGAATCGTAAGAATTGTTGCTTGTGCAAGTACAAAGACACGCTCGGCATGTAATGAATCGACAATGTATCCGATTCGTCGTTTTGCAGGGTACAACGGTGAATGAAAGAATGTTTGAAAGTGAATGTTCGTCTATATGATATTAATCCTCAAGTGGGCTTTTAATTTTACATTTAGCTGTGCGGCTCCTAACCTTTAAGTTCTCTTTTGGCTCCTTTCCTCCTCAATGCTCGTTAATTACCAACGAACAGGTGAATAAACAAATCCGAGGATCCTTAGAACCACGAGCAAAGAGCTCGTGATATTTCTCAACACATTTGCGCATATCTTAACATATATTTCGATATATTTCAATCACCAATTGTCGTTAAGAACGAAAAACCTCTCGAAGTCATAAAATTCGTCTCATAATGATGCTGAAAAATTGGTGGAAAAAAAATATCTCGTTGCTAATAGTGTAGGTTGAACATACTCTTCAGTGCGTAATTTTTAGCGCTGTACTTTCTGATCTGTGCAAAATCTTTTACAGAAAGGGACATTTCTTTTCAGAGGAACGGCGTGCATGTTCTTATTAAACACACTGCAACTTCTCAGCTTAGCTAACAAGGATAGCGACGAAGCATAGAACTTACGATATCTTTCGAGGTAGAGCACCGTTGGCAGGTAACAGCACATGCCGTTATCACCGTGCACGTGGGCATACATGTCTGCTAATTAACACCCTCCGACCGGCGGTAACGCGTACGCGAGTGTACGGGAGTGTTGCCGCGGCCTCCGATGCTTAACAGAGCAAGCCTTCTCTGTCAATTCGGCGATCCACTCGACGATCCTTTACCGATGCCGGAACAACTGCATCCGGGTGACGGGGGACGCATGGCCGGTGACGGGGAGAGCAGCAACAGCGAGCTGCGAGCGGGTATCGTCCGCGTGAACAAGCGATCTACAGGCGCGCGGTCCACGCCGGGCCGCAATCGATCGATCCTCGATGAATCCTCGTTGTCGATCGGCAACTCCTCTCGCACCGAAGCAAGACAAATTGACGCGCGAGCACACTGCCGTCGCTATTATACGCCGCAAATAACACGGATCGATCGCCAAGAGCCGAACCGGCGTCTCAGTCCGCTCGTTAAAATCACCTTTTTTTTCTCTCTCTCTCTGTTCCCTGTTCTGGTGTTCTCCCGCGAGCCCCGATTCCGGTCCCTTTCACCCTTCCCCGCCTCTCCTGTCCCTTCTAATCACTAACGAAGAACACGGTTAAGTACGTGGTCCCGACTGTGTCTGTCGACCGGTGGAATTTCGCCGGGCGATTTTAATTGCGAATTCGAGGGTTTGATCCCGACGAGCCGCGCGGAACTTTTACAACCATCGACACAGAAAGAGAGGGAAAGAGAGAGAGAGAGAGAGAGAGAGAGAGCTTCCTTCACACACAGACCACGGATGTTTCACGAACACGAATTCAACCAACCGGCGAGCCATGGACGTAAAGACGTAGTTCGTGCCAGTTCCACCCTGTACACCAGTTCCGCTCGCGAGTGCAGCGGCAGACCGACGTCTCGTCGGGTAAATTCGTCGGCGGGGGATTAAATCTACTTTCGAGGGGAAACATTGGACGAAACAGCGGGGTGAAAAATGACGTGTTTACCAAGTGCACCGTCTATCCGCTTTATTACTACGACTATATTCCCTCTATTATCAGCAACTTCGAAATTACACGCGACGCGACAGTGTCAAACTCCGCCGTTTTTAACCTACCCAGTTTTCAATGTACTCGTGGCAATACACAAATGCACCGCCCGGGTCGTCTCGTTTCAATCTCTCCACCAGGGCCAGGGCCAGGAGAGACTCTGTTTATTTGCCAAACGTCGAAACGTCGGGCGTCCGACCAACTTTTTCAAACGCGGATCGATAATTTCGCTGCAACTTTTGTCCTATCCCGAGTCTAACAAGCCCGTGTAAAACATCGTTTCGTTATCGTGCCGCGATGCAATTCGACGACGTTGTTAAATGATCGGCCGACAACATTAACAAACAACTTCTCTCGAGTTGACGAATGACACAAGCGTTCGATCGAAACGTAACGTCCAATCCGCCTTTCTGATCGCTCCTTTCGCTCGCCGTACCAAGGACGATAATTCACGAGGCTGGCGCGCGCCTTCGACGCAACGATTAAACAGCTTCATCAGCGTGAAAATGGGAAATAGAAATCGATACGCGGTGAACTCGAGCTACAGTTAACGCGATTTTCCCGAGAGGCTGGTTATGCAACTGCACGGAAAATGGTTGCAGTCAAGTGCATTCGTGATTGCGCCAAACACGCGCACGTGACCGATCCGCCTGAACCAGACACGCGATTGATTTGCGAGGTGAACACCTGTCAACGAGTTAATTGCACCGTTTATGGCGATTCCGTTTCCCTCTGCCCTCCTTCGCGTTTTTTTTTTTTTTTTTTTTTTTTTTTTTTTTTTTTACCTTCTTTTTTTTTTTCTTTCTCTTTTATACCGTCTTTCGTTTTCCCCCTTTTCCCCGTTTATTTTCCCCCCTCCACGTCGTTGCTCGATTCGCCGACACCGAAATGATACGTTACAGCGACGAAATTACACGCGTCAGTTCGAATTTCACGACACGAGGTCCTGTCCGGGATTTACTCATCGTCCATTTATAATATCGAAACTCGACGATTTCGCAGCGCGTACTAGTTCGTAATTAATCGAGAAGCATCGATTGTTAATGTCGCGCGAGCGTTTCGCTCAATTTGTTATATCTCGTCGATCACAACGCAATTTTTCGATGATATCGTTCATTTCTTTTCTCCATTTCTCTTTCCCTCTGTCTTTTCTCTCCTACTTTATTTCGCTTTCGTCGAAACAGCGACACGAGGAGTTTTGCAACAGAGCTAATTAGCGAGTGATTTTCACCCGATCCGGCACATTGTAGAAAGTAGTCGGGCGAAATTGAAAAAGTTCTTTCGTTTCGGTGAAGGACCAATCGTAATCACGAGAGGCTGTTTAAAGGCCAGATCTCGATCGAGCCCCGCGCGAGTTCAATTGTCATCCGGGCCGTATCGGAACGTCCAGTCCTTCCAGAACTTCCGTCTCGTAAATATTAGTTTCCGTTAAGACAAACTTATTCGACGAGGCATTGCTCGCCGATCCCGATGCACGGACCCGCAATTAACCATTACAAACTCACGGCCGTTAATCACGCAAGGACAATGACACACCGGAGCCCCGCAATACCGTCGAACGCGCGGATACAAATTTCACTCGGATCGCGCTCGATTTCCTCTCAAAGCCACGTCGAGCCCTTCGATTCGAGTATCGTTCGAAAAAAGATTCGATCGTTCGATCGAACGATGATAGACGATTGACGCATAAATCCCGCCCCATATATATATATATATCACACACACGTAGAAAATTTATGCCATAAATCTAGTTCGATCTCTATGAATACGATTTCCACCGCCGGTACGGATTTCTCGCAGGATAAACACCCGCTAATAGTTTCATCTTTCGCGCAAATAACAGGATTTCGCGATCCCCGCCGACTGTGACGGAAAGTACGATCAATTACTTGTGTTTTGGGTTCGTTGTTTTCGCGACAAATCGTCCTCGAAGGCCACAGGCGGCGATGCGAGCAATTCACGTCTCCACGAAGAGACGAGGTTTGATAAACATAGCGGCTGCGTACGTGTTATCGAACGTAATGGTGGCACGGTGACTCACTCGTTATTTACGAAGTGCTTTCGCGAACGAACACACGATCGGCAATTTTTTCTCCCCGCAGGAGGTAGAGACGGCGTTAACGCATTAGCCGTGTGTCGGGGGATATTGACGCTGGCCCATGTGACGACGACGTTCGCGAAAGTGCAAACATTCAGCTAATAACGGACGCATCGCCTTTCCCGAGCGCGTTTACATCACAATGTGTCCAGAAAGTTGTTAAGTTCGAAATTTATTTCCAACAAGCACAACGCCTGTTCGGTGTAAGTCTCGCCGCGGGTGAGAACCGTTTCCCCCATATATTTTCAATATTCGTTATAATGCGTAACTTCGAACAACTTCGAAGCAATGTTACCCAAAAAAAACTGAGATTGGAAATAGACGAAAATGTTTGACGAACGACAGGTCTCGATCGAAGTACCACGGCGAACACTCACTGCCGGAGGAACATCATCACAATCACGAGAACTATTTCTCTTATCACTGGTGGTGTGCACTTTGATTCCTGGAAGATTGTCTTCGATTTTCTCTCTCGATTCACTCATCCAAAGAACACGTCACGATCACGGTACTTTCGTTGATTAACACGTGTCACTGACTGAGGAACGATCGAGCGAGACACTCGGATATCGCAGTGCCAGTTGGTTTCTCGATCGAAAGAACCAGTCCGAGGCAAACACACCGCGTTCGAGGGCACCGATTCGAGGATCGTCAAGGCAAAATCATCACTCTCTCTCGTGTGATGGCAGACGCAACCGCGCGAGCTTAACCGAGAAGTTTATAGCACACATGTGAAAACGAACGTGTGTCGTTGACAGCATACTTCGCGCGACGTTCCGTCGGAATTTCAGAGAGAGAACGGAGGCAACGCACATGGAACGCCCGCTCGGAGCGGCTTTAACCCGCTGACTGCCAGAGTCGCCCCTTTTCCAACCCCTTGACTCGTCCCGGACTGCCCTCCCTCCCCAAACCCACCACCCTGTCCTCCTCCTTCGTCCCGCCAGCTTCATCAACGACCTCTACCTTCGCGAAATCCTTTCCTCCTCCGGCCACGTACGTATACACACGCTCGCCCACTGGTGCCAAGTATTCGCCAGCCTTTTCATTTCTCCCATTAATAACGCGGGGCCCTCCGGGAAAGAAATTGCGACTTGACGGCTATGCTTTAAATATGGCGCTTGGAATAATTAGGAGATTTAGCGTCGCTGGAAGATACATGCGGCAGAGGGATATCGGAGAGACGAGAAGAACGGCGTGCACTTGTCGCGCGCGTGTGGAAATATTTCGAAAGGAATTTTTCATTTTCTCGGAGAGTTTTTCGAGGTATACAGTGGAAATTCGACGAGCTTCTCTTGCGTCTTTAATAATTGAGAGATTTAACTCGTATAAACGGATAATAAGGATAGGAAGAACGGCGTGCGTTTATCGTCTCCTACTCTTTTGCAGGTATTTTAGAAAATTTTCAGACTCTTTAGGTGGATTTACAAAGTAGAGAAACTAGATAGGTTTCTTTTCTTTGTGATGTAATAGGATTTAAATAATAAGCAGACAGAGAAAACAATTCGCCGATGTTATTTTACAAATAATTTCACGAATATTTTGAAGTATGCTGCGAAGTACTATTTCATAAAATTTTCAGATTTTCTAGAAATTTTTTGTAAAATGCAAGGGTTCAACGGAAATTTCGTCGTGTTTTTATTGTTTTTAGACGCGAGAGTACGCGAAATTTGAATTTAATCTCAACGACAAGTAGTATTACACGGTACTTGGTCAGACATTAAGCGACAAGGAAAGTCGCCGAGGCGAAACATTCGAATCTCGGTTCTTTCTTCTTCTTTTTTTTCTTTTTTTTTTCTTTTATTTCCCTCAGCTCCGGTTGTTACTTCAGATTTCCGCCGCATAATAGATAGCATTTTTACGGTCCGGTTCAAATATGAACAGGTAGATTTTACGCTGCCGCGGCTGGGAAGATTCTTTCCTCCTGTCGTTCTGCCGGCGAAACAGGGCCTTTTATGTTCCGAAGCTGCACGCGCGCCACGAAATAAAACAAAGGTTTTCGCAACGACAAAAGTAACTTCGTTAGAACCGAGGGAAGAAGCAGTTTGCGAGCGAGCAATTACAAAGACGGTGAACGTTTTTGTACGAACGTTTCGTGCGAACGAATACGACAAAATGGGCCCAGGTTGGTCCGTTTCGTGGAACGGGGAAACAAAAAAAAAAAAAAAAGAAAAAAAAGAAAAATTCATCGAGCGGATTCACTTCCAAAAATTGGAAAACGCTTTATAACCGGTGCTCGCTTACGCCTTAATCGTCCTCGACGGTTTGATGCGATCGTTGATCGAGCGCACGCGTATAATGCGATAAAACGCCGTGGAAAAGAGAAACCACTGTCGGTGGTCTTTTCTTTTTCTTGTTTCTTTTTCGATTCTCACCTCCTTTCTCTCTCTCTCTCTCTCTCTCTCTCTCTCTCTCTCTCTCTCTCTCTTTCACGCAATTTTTTTTCTCCCTTTGCCGCGGATGGAAAAGCGGATGAAGAAAACGAGATAAAACCCCATGAAACGAGAAGACGATGGAAGAAAGCCATCCGCGAAGCCGACATCTCCTCGCTTCGGATTTACGTCTTTCGTTGACTCGGCCCGAAGAATCCCGCTTTCACGTCGGAAGTCTTCTTAACGAGGGTGAAGGAGAAAAAGAGCCGGCACGGGGGTGGAGAATATCCTTCGGGGACTCTAATAGCTTTTTACGCCTTATTACTTATCATTACGGTTGGCGAGAAAACGATCGACCTATGAAAGAAGTATTGTACCAGCTAGATACGATCGCGCGATTATCGATGCTCGGATTTCATCTCGTTCTTTGCTTAACTCTTCCCTTAATCTCACGTATCTTCGTGCTACTCTAGTTTTGCTTTAAGGAAAGAATTCATCTCTTTCTGAATTTATCGTTTGT